CTGGATTTTCTCCTATTCCTTAAGGACATGACTTTCAGATACTGCTGCAGATAGCTCAGCTGAACATGGTCAGGTACAAGGACTGGACTGAAAATGGCTGAAAAAGCAGCCAATGTCCAAAAGAACTTGGTAAACTTGAAAAGCCTGGAGAACTCAAGACCACTTTAAGGACTTGAGGGATGGCTCAAGACCTGCGCACAGTTCTGCATTACGCCGCATGATTAAAGTAGGCCATCTGCCTTTTAGGAGTAGCTGCACTTTGAGTTGACTGACAGCTGGAAAAAAACCTTCCCAAGAAACACAGCAGCAGACGTGTATTTATTTAAATATAAAGTCGACAGCTACCTAGATCGCTCTTACAGTGGACATCGCATGAACTTTAAAGATTTTGCTCTGGCTACATCAGACATTTATATTCTAACATGCAGTTCTGCTGGGAAATGTCTAGATAAGTTCAGGGTAAGATAATCTTTAATTCAAAATGTCACTGGCTTTTAAGACGTTATCATAGCAGAACCCTGATTTTTTTATTGTGCTTTCTTTTTTTAATATGAGAAATCAGATTATCAGTAAATCTAATACCACCTGACAATGTTCAGTATATTTAAGAATATTTGAAGATTATTAGGAAAAAGCACTTTTTACTTTACTGTAACGTATGCATGATTGGCTTTACTATTTAATTTAAGACTGATGTACCGATTAGGATCGATATTAAATTTCCATATGCAGTGAAATGACATGTAGACTGAAAGGGGCAGCCCTACGGGATGTTTGGCTAAAGCAGATGTTAAGTAGGTGGGGGGCTGACGGTGCAGGGCTCAGGTGCATTATGGCAGCCTGCTCTCATGTCAGGCAGCGAGAGGCGCGGCTGTCACATGGGATGAATAAATCCCCCAGCATTCACTGCTGCTCATCAAGGTTCCACCTCCCTGCCAGTGCACACTGTCAAAAGGATTATTCCGCCTGGACATGATGACGAGGGCATTATCTTAGTGTACACACAAACAAACAGTCTTTCTAAGGTTCAGTGGAGACTGCACTGTTGCAGCTTTACTGCAGTGTCTTTCCACACACTCAAACCTACACTATGCGTGGCACATCTCCATCTCCCTCCACTGATGCAGCATTTTGGGGGGGGGTTTAGTAGTAAAAGATAAAAGGATTATAGGAAAATATCAAGTACTCCCTCACTTCAGTGCTGCAGAAAACCACACAAAGGAAATATACCAGGAAAGCTCAGCAAGCAGTACTGACTTGTGACCAAGGTGCTTGAGGAAGTAGCCCAGAACTTTGAGTGCCTGGACCCGGATACTCTCACTCTTAGAGGCCAGGAGCTTGCAGATTACCCTGTAACATGTGAGACAGAGTCACAGGTCAGAGAGACAGTTATAACATCTTTCTTTACTACAATAGCAAACATCAAGCAAACAAAAAAACAAGAGCAAAATTAGGGGTTCTTCGCTGTGTAGTAAACACCTGCTGCCTGAAACTCAGCAAACATTCTTAAGAGTCACAGTTTGCAACACGAGCGCTGACTGAAGCATTTTCTTCAAAGAAGCGTGCACACAGTACATCAAAATAAAAATAAAAAAGGAACAAGCCACAGTTTGCAACTAGCTCTCTAGCAACAGAAGAGTTACCATAGCAACCAAAAAGACATCCATGTGTCGTTGTGCTTTGGGGGAATTACAAGCACAGCAAGGGTACGTCTTTGAAAAAGGCTGCGTAGTTCGAGCTACTCGAGAAACATAATGTGAAACTACAGGAATTTTATCTGAATTAAATAATTAAACTAATACTATTGAGTAAATTTTAAATCTATGTCTAAATCTTTCACTGGTTTTAGAAAGGGGCTTCATACCAAAAACCAACACATTCTCCACCCCCCCCTTTCTATTACTGTAAAGCAACCCATTGTGAAAACATTCACATTTTATGGATGATGAACAGAACAGACTGACACAAGGGTAATTACTAGAGTGGTGCTGATATATCAGTATCAGGATTTATAACATCCAATAAATGAAACTTTAAAAAGTAAAGAGATGGGAGAAACACCCTTCAACCACGAATACTGACATTGCACAGTTTGTCCACCAGAGGGCACAGGCGTTTGCAACACCACAAATAAAACCAGCTAGGCAGTCAGGCAGAGCATAAGTAATATTTGGCTTTTGAATATCTACACATATCAAATTTTAGGAAAAAAAACTGGCCAATATGTCAGATATATAAATGACCAAATATTGATCTTAAAAATCCTATATCAGTCGGGCTCATCCCATCTCAGTTTTCCCACATTCAATTAGTCTGCTGTTACAAAGGAACTCTTCTTATGAATCAAAGAAACACATCCGCCCACCTACCACCTTAATGCAATGCCTTTGTTAGTAAGAAGGCCCCGATGATGATTCTGACCTCTGGCTCGATGAATTTAACCTTTCAGACAACAGGTCCTTTTCTTTCTGAACAATTTGCAACGCAATTCTTACTGGTACAGAAGTGAAAAGGCAAACATCGATGGCCTAATTTCCTGCAATCTTCACACTTCAGCAGGTCACATTCGAACTTTTGTTGGTGTATGCCTTGATTTGACCGACCTGCTCTTAAACATTTATTTCTGGCTGCTCCCTTGTCACAAGGGGTCAACCACAGTGGGTGGGCCAGCGTGTTTGACTTTTAAACCAGGTGCCCTTCCTGACACAACTCCAAAAACGACTTGTTTCTCCAGCAATCTTTGGTTTGCCAAGCAAATGTGTAATTCACTACACTATGGAGACACTTGTTAAATATCCTACTACAATATACTAAATCTCTATTTGTTTCTTTGTCCCCAAACTCCTCCTATACCACCAGGAGCTGAGCAACCAAACTTGGCACATAGGTAAATCTTAGACCCCCGAAGGTTCTTATCTACATCAGATAATATAACATCATCATGTTGCCTTCTAGCCACCTGCCAACAGGTTAAAATGGTCAGCTTTTAGCGTTTATACACCTACATCACCCTTTAAAAGCATTGTACAATTTTTATTTTATGACACTAACCTTTAACTCATCTACAAAAGTTAAATTATGCATGTTGAAATTATGACGCTATCATGCTGCCTGGCAACCAAGTAGCAATTTGTTAAACTGCCATATTTTCAACCTTTATGCACCTATAAAACCTTATGAAAGCATCCTGTCGTTTTAACTTCAAACAATAAATTGCCAAGAAAGAAACTAAAATGATTTTTAATGTATAAACCACATCTACCATTCCTATTCTTTTAAAAGTTTGCCAAGGAGGCAAATAGTAATAATAAGAAGAAACACAACACCTATGACGCAGCAGTTTGGGGATTTATGAAAGATATTACACTTTTCTGAATGAACACTATCTACTTCAATTAAATTATTCATAATAAATCATGGGTTTTCTTATAACAAAATAATATATAATACTAATATAGATATCGACATAGATGCATATGGATGCCTATGTTGACACAAACAGCATAGCTCTAACCATAAACTTATTTTTTCAGGTTCTGGTGTTGTGTAAAACCTTTTTAATATGTATGCAGATGTGTGAGCAGCATTCACCTTATGCCGTTTCTCTGGTCAAATGCGGGGATCATGGACGCCGGGTGTTCAGACATAAGGGCCACTAACAGCTGGAGCACGTCGTGAATATTCTCATCCTGCAAAGAAAGGAAAGATGAAGCAGGTGAGATGGAGAAAGCCCTGTGGGACAGACGGACACAGGGTTAAGAGGACAAAGAGAGTTGTAAGGGTGGACGCGGAGGGGGTGGATTACAGAATGGCAGGTGGTATTTCAGAGCAAGAATAGATATAATTGTTACAGAAGAGAACATTCTGTTCAGTTCATTGTTGCTCCATTTTTCATGCGGTCACAGCACTGAAGCTGACTCACACTCACTCGTTTAAGTGGACCATAACTTCAGCCCACAAATTATAATGCACATTTTGCCACCAGCTCCACTCAACCGCTCTCACAGTCTCTCCGTTTCCCTCTTTTGCCCTCTCTCAGTGTCTATTTTAATACAGAATTTAGCATTTACCTCATGCATGGTCAGTAGATAGTTGAGAATGCTCTGCAGCTCGTCCTCCTTCACGCCCCGGTCCTGTGAAAACCAGACATTCAGTTAAACATTCGTGATCTCCTGTTGTTTTTTACCTCTTATTAACTACACACCGCTTCATTAATTCTGTTCCTGGCTGCATTTTTACCATGAAGCAGTAACAACCTCCTTACACACACGCGCACGCGCAAATACAGGAACAAATCAATATCAGAGCGCACAAACAGAAAAGCTACAGTCTTTTATTCACGCTGCAAATCTATAATGCAATTCTCCACACACACATTTTAAATTAAGCCAACAGTCCCCAGGAGAAAAAACAATAGAGGACATAATAGGAAAAGAAAGCTAAAAAAAGAAGCGATTTCTTGGATCTTATGCGATGAAGATCACGGTAAATCGGTTTCTCTCATTTTACCTTGAGTATGAGTTGTTTGAGGAAGAGGAGCATGAAGGCTCTGAGTGAGATGATCTCCTTTTGGGACGGTCGTGGTCCATCTAGACAAAGACGCGCAAACACAAAATTAATTTCCTGTTAAAAATACATTTTTACACTCGATAATGATCGGCTAAATAAGCCCACCACTGAGCCTTGGTGTTTACTAATATTGGATTTTATTAGGCTTCCTGGAGAGCAGAGAAAAACACGTTAACACTAACACGCTCGCACACACTCACTCTGCTATATGACTGTAAATAACTGTCATTAACTCTAGTGGCAATTTGGATATTTTATGATTGTACCAATCTAACGTATTACAGCAAAGACGCAGTAATTCACAAAAATGTGATCCAAACCAAACAACCGCTGTAATCCACTGTATATACTTTACAGCTTTGGTACTGGATGAGTTGTTTGCTGTGGTGGTTTACACACAGATAATCGAGCTAAAAAAAAAAACACAGTTTTTTCCGTGTAAGTTTACTTTCACAGAAGGCAAAGAGCATGCCCTTATAAAAGGTCCTCATCCGATGCTTTGAAATACTCTGTGATGTTAACCAAGAAGAAGTCATGTGCAAAGCAAAACATTGAATTATTCTTTTAAGATGTATCTGTCCCACTGCGCAAGTGTCCAGTGAAGGGGGGCATGGCTACGCGGAGGCTGGAAGGGGAAGTAGAAGTTTTTGGAGCGTCGGTTTCTTCTTGTGTGGAGGAACGAAAGAAGGCAACCATTAAAGTTGGAGTTAACATACCAGTTGTGTGATTACTGGACTAACAATTCCACCACCTGAAAACACACCACAAACTGCAGTGTGATAAATGCATGAAGACCAAGAAAAACAGTGCAGTGCTTTGTAACGTGAACTGTCCATCGCGAACTCAAACGTCCGTAAAAACGAGCCTGTACAGCGCATCTGCAAATCCACCGAGCACACAAAGAAGCCCTTAAATAACCAACACATTCCCCTTCCATTAGGCCAAAAATGTGCACCCATTAAACACAGTGAGTAATGAAGGCTTCAGGAAAATGGTCAACATACTTGTCAAAAGACATGTTCTCCCCTTGAGCAATTATTTTTCCAATGTGGCAAAATCTGCACTGTATGCAGGAGGGAAAAGAGCTGTCGACTACTCTGCTACGAGTTTTAGTCACATCCATCACGCTGGTACAATGAATGAAGTGAAAGACTTTCTATTATTTATCTGCATAGTTTAATTTATGAAGATTAACTTAATGTAGAACTATGTAAAGATGAAAGCAGCGCCCTGTTGATTTAATGCAGTGCCATTTTTTTTTGTTTTTTAAACCAAATGATGCAAAAATGATTTAAAATGTATTTTTGAGAGCGGCACAGTATGTCTCTTGTCCCGCCTCCCTCCACTCACCCCCAACCAGTCACGACAGCTGGCCGCCTGTCCCTGACACTGGTTCTGCTGGAGGTTTCTTCTTGTTAAAAGGGAGTTTTTCCTTCCCCCTGTTACCGAGTTCTTGCTCATAGGGAGGTCATCTGATTGTTGGGTTTCTCTGTATTATTGTGCTGTCTTTACCTTGAAATATAAAGCAGGCCGAGGAGACTGTTGTGGTGACTTGGCGGAATATAACTAACATTGAATTACTAAAGTTCTGTTAAGGAAAAGGTGCATGCTTTCTATAGCCGATACACCTAGAACTGGGCAACTTACACACACACATGCAAAAAGAGCAATAGTGTTTGTTCCTTCAGACATTTAGCTGCGTCAAAGCTTCACAACTCTATCACTTTTAAAATGATTAAGACAAAAAAACTGACAACTCAGATGATGGCATTAAATTTTAATTGATGTAACTGTATTTCATTCTTTTTTTTAAGTGTTTAATGTGCACGTCAGATACAGTTGAATTTATAGCTGTGATGAATCGGCTCAAAACAGCTGCCAAATAACTAGCTAATGGAAAGCGGTGCCAGGAAGACTAAAAATGCATTGATTTAGATCAAAACAAGAATGATATAAGACGCACCCTTCAAAAACAAGGACATTTATCCTCTGGATCCCACTGCAGTCAGATAAAGTTCCCTTCTTCCTTTCCTACTTTTTTTTTTTTACTTATTCTCCATTTTCCTCAACTACTCTATTTTTTGTATCGATGCCTTTAGCAACCAAGCACCCACAATGCAACCCAATAAACCTCAAATGCTACGTGTCCTCATCACTCCCGACAGAATTGTTCTGTTTATTAGAACCAGTAAACATTTATGATGTCCAGTTTGTGTGTATTTGTCATTTCACACGTTGCTGTGTCAGGGTGTTTGAAACTATCCTTTATTATGTATTCCTCAAAGGAAGAGAAATACAATCGCAAACAGCGTTTATTGTAAACGGAATAAAATGCACCACGTCCTCACAGAAACAAGACTTGACCCACTGTTGCTTAGCCAGCAGAAGTAGGCTCACGAGAAACATAAAAGGCCGAGGGTGTGAAAGGAAGACGATGTGAAGCCTGTCCCTCCATTTCTTTGTCACGCTCTGCTGCCCTTCAATCACGCGAGTGTGTACGTGTTTCAGTCTGTTCTCCTGCTCTTCACGGAGCCAAAACATGACACCCAAGCAATCCACTGCGATCCATCATCCTTATCTGTCAAGCTGGTGCGTGTAGCCTGAACGGTGACACTGACCATCCATCATGTTTACCCAGCCACTCTGCATTAAATGACCAGGTGAAAGCGGTGTGAGTGGAACCTCCTTATTTAAAGCTCTTTTGTCATAAGACGCCTTGAATAAAGCTTATATTCTTCTAAACAGCTTTCCTTGGGCAGGTTTAATTACCATCACTTACTCTTTGAAATAAATTTTTGTCTTTGTGTGCTCCTAGTCTGGCTGCACAGTTTTATCTAGTCTAATTTACGATAACAAACGAGTAGTTTTTATTTTAACTGGATAATGGCAAGCTTTCGAGAGATAAAGAGGTTTAAAGTGGTGTGATTTTGTTCTGACTTTGGGCCCTTTGCCACAACTACACACACACACAAACACACGCTTCAGATTTGATCTAAAAAGAAAATGAATTTCCTCAAGATTTGCCCATTTTACAACAATTAACACAAAGTACATAGAAAAAGTCACAGAAGTTGGCTGAACGAGGCTTAATACATAAAGAAAAAAGTGTATAGACAGAAAAAAAAAAGATTTGTCATGACTAAGACACTCACTGGCCACTTTATTAGGTATACCTGTCAGCTCATAACAATCTGAAGAATGGCCAGTTTACTTTGAGCTGACAGGAAGACAACAGTAACTCAAATAATCACTCGTCACAACCAAGGTATTATTGCAGAAGAGCATCTCTGACTGCAGATCGACTACAAGCAACAGAAGACCACACTGGGTTAATAGGGACAATTGAGATTAAACAAAAACTTGCCAAAATTGATAATCACCTGATCAATTCTGTTTTAATGACAAAATCAAAATTTAGTGTGAAACATGAACCTGAAAGCACGGCTCCATCCTGCCTTGTATATTCGGTTCAGACTGATGGTGGCACACTTCAGGTCCCTTGGTACCAACTGAGCATGGTTTAAACACCATGACTTGACTGACTATTGTTGCACACCATGTCCTTCAATTTAAGACCACAGTGTACCACCTTCTGACGGATACCACACCATGTCTCAAAGCTCAAATCATATCAAAATGCTTTATGAAACATGACAAGGAGTTCACCGTCATCAAATGGTCTCACCATTCACCAGATCCAGGCGAGCAAATTTGGGATGTGATGGAACAGAAGACTCTCATCACAACAAATCTGCAGCAACTCTTTGAGGCTATCACGTCAATGCAGAAAGAAAATGTCAGAGGACTTCCAGGACCTCATTGAATCTCTGACATGAAGAATTAAGGCAGCTCTGGAGGGAAAATGAGCTCCAGCCTGGTACTAACAAGTCGTACGTTAAGTGTCCGCTGAGTGTAATTCATTTAGAGCCCCTTCCTTTTTTTTTTTTAATTCAGTGGAGGACATCTGATTATAGTTAATGCAATTTAAGAGCAAAAGACCCAAGAGGTTTTATTGTGAAGACTACACGCTCTTTCCTTGGAACTTCCAACCACCACCTAATTTAGCCATTTGTAAAATACACAGTAAAAGGAATTTGGTATTTTAAGCTCAGTCCAAGTCTGGTGAGAGATAAAAAAGAAAATACTAAAAATACAAAATTGTCCTTCCAACTCGGATTCAAGCCCATTCTTCAGCTAGTTGAATGCATTTTTATCCACAAAGCTCATGGTATGAGCAACATAACTGTCCATTACTATGCAAATGAGTGCATATCACATTCATACAGTATAGTCAAGTGCATACATTTGCAGGCTTTCAAACCACAACTAGCTGCTTTTAGCTTTGAACTACAGTACGAATGTGTCTGAGGCTAATTGCTGCTATACTGTTATCTGCGCCTTTTTTTTTTTATGGGGCTAAATCCCAGCAGGCAAACAGTAATATCGCCAAACAGAAAAGAAGCCAGACAGCCACTTGATTAGAAATTCCAAAAGCTCCCTTGGATCTGCCAATCACATGTCTGTTACCATGGAGACATGGGATGCGTACTCATAGTCAGCGAAGGGTCCCGGGCAAAAGGAGAGGTTGATTAAAGTGTGAGGCTTCCTCCGACCTTTTGCTGCTACAGAGCGTGACAACAGCGGCGGTGCTAGCACTGCTAGCTGTTCCCTGCTCTATTACAAAGGCAAAGAAAATTGAATATCTGAGTCAGCCCTGTGTTATTTTAAAATAGATATGTTTTATAGTGGCTTTATAAAAAAAAAACATGGACAAATCTTTGAGACCTTTTTCCAAAACAACTGCATTCACAAGAAGCACAAGGTGTGGGTACATTTAAGGAAATATAAAAGATTTATTTACACAGGTGTCACAGCTATCACCTGTTCTGTTCTTAAGAAATAAAATGCAGCAGTTGGAAAAGAGAACATGCAGTGTCTGCTTCTGAAATGGTCTTATTCACTCTTAAATACACAAAAGAAGCTGCTCAGCCATTCCCATAAACACCAGTGGTTGTTGGGAAAAACTCTGAATGTGTGTGTGTGTCTGTATGCATGTATTACTCATATTGTGGAGGCATAAATCTGTTTCACCCTGTGGAGAACTGCAAAAGAAAGTATTGGTGATCAAAAGAAAGTGCCCACAATGTAGATATCGTAATAAAATTTATATTTTAGTCCAAAGATTTAGGTTGGGTCAAGTTCAGTTTATTTTTAGGGTCACTTGGATGAGTGACGAAACGTTTCTCCCACTGAAAAACTACGTCCAGATGAACAGAATCAACTTTTGGGGATTTACTTACCTGGATGATTGAGCATACATCAAGACAACTGTGTAATATATAGAAGAAATGATCATTTTCTTTACTGTATATACATTCATAGCTTTAACTATTTGAAATGACTGTGAGTACGATGTCACTGCAAATTTGTACGGCAATTTGAAGTTATTAATCACTTATTCAGGTATTGAGGTGACCTTTAGTTGTCAACTGTCAGCAAAAAACTCCCTTTCACAATTTAAAAACCTCTTGAGCTGCATTTCTAAAACTATTTTTTTTGCAAGGCCCATCTCCATCTTTTAACAAAAAAAAGCAAGTGCACCACTATTACAGCACAATAAAAATCAAATGAAAATGATTAACAAGAAGCTCAAAATTACTGCTCATAACTGTGAAAGAAAACATTCCTTAAATCTCACATAATCATGATTTTAAGAGTCGTTTAAATGTTAAACTGATGTGGTTCAAACGGGCGACTGTCAGGCTTTTAAGAAGAGAATATTTTACTGTATATTCTAGCAAATATCTTCTGTCCGAGCTCTGAATTATTTACTCTCTATTTTCATGACAAGTGTGAAATTCATTTGTTAACCGAGACAACAAAAACAACAACGCCACGAGGCAGGAGATGAAGCGTTTTAACACAACCAAGGAAAGAAGGAAGTCATTAACAGGCGTGTGAAGGTAACAATTATCGTATTAATTTAGAAATAATGGAGATTTAGAGCAAAACACAGTAAAAGAAACTTCCTGGATAGACGACTGGAAGCCTTTATGTGGTCATGTATTAATGCTAGAAAGTTAAGTCTGTTAAACTAAGGTAATAGAACAGCTAAACTGCGCATTAGTTTGGCTGTAACTGTATCAGTTCTGTGATGTGTGTGACAGCAGCCTCTTTACATATTTGAATCACAGAGGATGGGATCTGACAAATTAGCAAAAAAAATAAAAGAAGCAAAGCCAGAGCAGCTGTGGCTCAGTCCACATAGCAAACTGTCCTTGGACCTGATACTGAACCGTAAAACTGCGCACAATTTATCACTAGTGTGTGTGTGTGTGTGTGTGTGTGTGTGTGTGTGTGTGCGTGTGTGTGTGGCAGAGTGCACCGTATGCACTGTCTTTGAGTCCCTAGTGGTGAAGTGATGGAAACACTGTGAGCATGTGAGCTGTGAGCCTAAGGGACTGTCATTGCTCCTTATTCACTCTTGTCTTTCTTCTTACAGCGAGCATGCCTTTGTGTTCATGCAAACTGTGTGCACTGTAAACATACCAAGACCTTTGGGGGTGATTCCACTGCACTCCAGGGGGTTGATTGCCCAGTAGTAGTACTTCAGAGTGTGCATCAGCTGCAGGACGGTGCCGATGCGGCGAATGGTGGTGTAGATGGTGGCAGTGCCGATGAACTCAGATGACAGGTATGTGTACAGGGACAGCTGGACCTGGATATACACAAAATACATTCAAACAACACATGCACGGTACGTGCGTTGTCTTCATATGCGCATGTTGACGGACAAGTAGTTTGGGGAGAGAAATAAATCATCACTTTGTGTTTATAATATTCATGAAAAAAGCTGTTTAACAGTGAAAGGACGGCCACAGCGGAAACTTCCCTCCAGTAAAAGCACCAGTGTTTTCCTGCTTTGTGTTATTTTGATGTTTCTGTGCCTGAAGCTCTTCGAGCCTCATATGAGGAGGCAGTTACCGACTCTGGCATTTAAGGCGTGCGTTCTCCAATCGCTAATTTGCTCCTTTCCTCCTTTTATGTTCCGTTTAAAAAAAAAAAGAAAGAAAGAAAGTAAAAAGTAAAAAGTCCCCCTTCTATTGATATTCCACTAACCAATCCTCTCAATCGCACTTTCATAGATTGGAGCGTGCTGTACGCTCAGAAATCTCTGAGCTCATTACAGTGACCGTGACGCTAAGGACCAGCCTTAACGAGTTGAAATTAGCAGGGTGCCACTGCCTGACCATACCACATCACAGCTCATCTAAAAAGGAGAGTGCACTCAGCTGACTTAAATGGCCTTCATTATATTACATTTCTCACATTAAGCTGTTTATCTGGTGCAATTTAAAACCATCTCAGCAGAACTTACGAAAATTCTTGATCGTATTGCAACACTTCGGGCTCCGCTGCTCCAACAATGGCTTATTAAAACAAAAACAAGAAGAATATATATTCCTCCCTCTCTGAAAGGACTGTGTTTACCAAGAGAAACGGGCTCTTTTAAAACTGAGCAGGGGACGCATTATGAGAGACGGGCGATGTGATTCACATGTGATTTCTTCAAGTGTTTCATTAAGTCCTGAACATGACCGAGGCTATTTTCGCCAATAACAAAGGTAATGATAATACACTGAGAGGCAGAAAATAATAACACTCAACGGGAGGCAGAACGGTACAAAGGAAGTAAGATTAAAGGATTTTAAGATTTCTTGTGTGTGTGGGGCTGCTTAGTATGTTTATTATGCTGTTCTTATTGTGACCTTAATTATTATCATGTAATAAGAACTTATCGTCTTTCCTGCAGTGGCACTCAATTGCAGGTAAAAAAAAACAAAAAAACAATATGTAATCACATACTTCAGTCACTTTGAATCTCTGAGATCAATACGCTGTATTTGTACAGTGTTGCATTCTGACATTCGCACACTCCTCCATCTCCTGAGAAGCTTGCATAGCTTCTGTTTTTACTCCAGGATGCCGTCGGCTGCACCGCTATGCCCAGAGGCCAATCAGCTCTCGGGGTCAGAGGGAAGGAGACAGGGAGCCAGGAAGATTTGAGAATAAATGGAGGCAAGAGCTGAGGGGCCCTTCAGCGATGCCACATCGAGTTCAGAGTGAGGAGGAAAAGAGGAACAACACATCGCTCTCTGTCCCGAGGTCTTTTCAAATGTCACTTTTTCTTATTGTTTCCCCTCATTCGCGTGTTCTGTCCTTCTCCTGTGTAATGCCCCAGCCCCTCCCCCCAATGTCTTCTTCCATCCTTGTTTATTATATTATTGTAAAGGGCAAAAGCCAGTGAGAGATATCAGCCCCTCCTTCATCTTTCTTTTATGATGTTTACATGTCTCTCTTTTTTCCTGAATTCAGACCAAACCTAGAGCACACAATAATCAGAAAAAAACAGTATCTCTTGCTTTCTTTTTATGTTTTATGTTCTTCCCTCTGCTGGTTATTTTTTTACAGGCCTCCAGACCTTTATTTTCTTTGCAGCAAGGTCATGTAAAACACACTCGCACACATTTTTAGGAGATGCCTGGAAATAAACAGACCTTGGCGGGGGTGTGTATCCAGATGGCAGCGTTGAAGAGGACATGGTCACAGAGCTGTTTGAGGAGTGGCGCTCCATGAGGTAAACCATCCAGATACTTGGCAAAGGACAGGAACTGCTCAAGCACTGCCCTGGTGATGTGGACCCGTGAAGACTAGGAAAAGAGCACGCAATTATAGGTTTGAAGCTGATAAAAGAAAAAAGCTGATAAACACTATTTTAAATTATTATTATTAACGTTTTATTTGCTGTCATCCTACAGTACAGCCAGTGTAACCACGGATACAGCCAATCACCTGCTGAATGACGCTTTTCAATACATAATTTTAGGTACCTAAGCTAGAGTTCAACACAGGTCTCAGGTAATTAATTTACACCATCTGTTTTGTTAAGAAGTGTGCATATGATATCGCTGTCTCTTTCCTCTGCACATTTCTATCTTCGCACAACAACTTCTAATACCTACACTGCACCGAGGCCTTGAGACAACGCTCCTTTCTTTACGTTTTTCTAGAAGAATGGGAAACATATACACAACTAAATCATATTCTAACAAGCTTGTAAGTCAATATTTGATATGACCACCTTATTAGCACAGCCTGAACTCTCTTAGGTAAGCTTTCCTGTAATGTCTTTAAGCAAAATAGCTCTCCAGCCTTCTTAAAGGACATTCAAAGCTCTTTTATGCTGCCTTTTGTTCTGTTCTTTGTCAATATGATCCCACGCTGCTTTAGTAATATTGTGGCGTGAGCTCTGGGGAGGCCGATCCATGACCGACAGTGTTTCAGTGTGTTTTTCTATCAAAGTATGCTTTTACTAGATTGGCGTTTGGGATCATTATCATGCTGAAATGTTTTCACTGATAAAGATGTTGCAGATGGTACTGCATGGTAAAAGTCTCCAGCGTGTTTTACAGATGGCTGTAGACACTGCTGTACCTCTCTCCTAACTTCACATATTTAAATTTGGATTCATCGCTCCATAAGACTTGTTGTCACTGATTTTTAGTCCAATTATTCTAATGTAATTTAGCATATCTCAGCCTTCCCCACCCATTTCTCTTCCTTAAGTATGGCTTCTTGACAGCCACTCTTCCACTCAGACCATTTCTGATGAGGCTTCAGTGAACAGTAAATGGATCAACTTAAGATCCAGATACATCTCTCAGGTCCTGTGGCAGGTCTTTGCTGGATTTTGTCCTATCTCTTAAGGACCTGACTCACATACTGTTCATCTGCTGTATGATTTTTCAGCCTGCCACTTCTGCTTTTGTCCTCCACTAGTCCATTTTCCTCTCACCAAGTTGTACACGCAGTATAATGTGGAAATATGCCACATTATTGGCTAATAGCTCTCTGGAAATAACTAACTAACGAACTAACTAACTAATAATACTATTTTATGTCAGATTTGTCTTGGAAATTTACAGATTCAACAGCAGAAATGGGAAACAAATTATGTGTTTTGTGACAGGCTGCTAGTAACTAAATGCTAAATTTGCTAAATTGCGGTTCATGTGTAGACACAACACTGCTTTATCTCGTGATTCATAGGTACACTAACAAACAAAAGCATTTCTCTGAAGATGGTCAAATACAAGGACTGGACTGAAAATGAGTGGAAAAGCAACCAATGTCCAAATAAAACTTTGAAAGACCTTCGGAAAGCTTGAAAACATACATGCAAACATGTATATCAGGAATTTCTGGCTCATTAGAAGCAAAACATAAAGGAAAGACAGGTGGCTCAAGAGTTTTGCACAGTTCTGTAATACTGATGAAATGCAATCAACACTGCAATAAATTTGACCTTTAATATTGCACTGAATAAAATAAAAGAAACACCTGTCAGTATAGCCCAAAACATTTTAACAAAACAACAAATGACAAAAATATTGTTGCATCACACCGCATCAGGTTTAAATAGCTATATACATATAAGCTACCTAGCAGAGAATACAGCGGAAATGTAAGTAAAGCTTGACAAAAAACCCTGATGAACTTAATGGAGCTCAAATAGAATGCAAACTCTTTCCTGGAGGCTCTTGTACTGACCTTCTCGAGCAGGTATCCGATCACCAGAAAGCCTTTACCGCCCAGCATTTGCTCCTGCATGGCCACTGAGCTTTTCAGCAGCTCCACCAGGAATGCCAGCAGAGTAGCACTGCAACATAAGCACACACCAGCAATGCTGCATTGAAATCACTACTGGACAAACATGTTTACTACTGCAGGCAAGACGATCCATGCCGTGTTTGCTTCATCACTCTTCAGACCCACATTCACATACCCCAGCATATATTTTTAATAAGCAAGGTGCTTTGCTGTTTCTTATTGTCATTTCCTTGATGATATATTTTTTAAATAATCGGACTGCAAAGCTGCTCGATACTGGATGTAACTGGATTAATACTGATGGGATGGGGCGGTTTAGGGGAATCTCGGAGCAAGGAGAACACGTTGACTTTCTAAAACACCTTGCTCTTCCTCCTTTTACTCTCTGTAATCAGTTATTTTGTAGCCTGCAGCACAACCGAGGTTATTCTTTTAAAAGAAAGACAACTCTCCCACATACGACATTTACCTTTCTCTAATGTCAACCATTGTTTATATTTACTTCTTCTCATTTTCCCTAGTTTGTTTCGGGGTCCCTACTAGGATCAGCTGCAGCACTGCATAGCAAACAAAACATGTAATATTTTGAAGCTTCAGCCTGATTTCCTCTGCTGGAAAAGAAAAAATGGTGGAGTTGATATAAGTGCTCTTCAGACAGCCATCAGGTTCTCTGTATTTATGCAGATGACTCACCAGACAGTAGTGTCCACGCTGCTGTCATTGAGCTGCTTGTAGTCCAGCTGTGCAAAGAGAGGGAACAGGACCTGTATGCCTCCTATAGAGTGAATGGCACTGTGGATGGAGTGGGTAACAATAGCCTTCACATCCTGGGGGTTGGAAAAAAGACTGTTAGCGCTGACTTTATTTGACATGTTCACACAGTAGAAATCACATGCTCACTTCCACTATTAAAGAGCAAACAGCTCTCATATGCAGACTTAACAATAGAAAATGTTGCAGACATTTTTTTATTCCACATATGGTAATTTAAGACTCGCTTCTTTTCACACACACATTTAGTGCATCTATTGTTTTGTTTTTTTAAAGACTAGTTTTAGATCCCACAGAGACAAATTGAAACAATTTACTTCAAAATAATTTTAATGATCTCAAAACGGAGCATTTCCTTAGGGCTATAAATGGTACCTGTGTACCACTTTAAGCTGTTTTAACCCACTGAACTAAAATCATGAAAAAGGCGACTGCAAGACCTTCCTTAACTAAATTAACTGGATAAGAAAACAGGACTCCCTTTGTGCCCTCATAATTATAAAATAGAGAATTTGCTGCCTGAATGGTTGGTGCATTTTTCACACACTGTGCAACTGAGGGAATTCTCAGAAATCAGGAGATTTTTTTTAAGAAAAGAAAAGCACCACTGGTTGAGCAGACCTCCATCAACCTTGAAAGATATATGCTTAAACATAACTACAAGCAGTATCCTTCAAAGAAGGTTAAACTAAGATCTAAGAGTCCTGTCAAAATCAAATCTGTTTTCTATATTTTCTTAAATATCATATCAGCTATAATATCTTATACTGAGGAAATCCCTTATGTCTACAGTACTCCAAGCAAGGTAAATACCACTTATTTTTCACAAATGCAATTGAGGCGAGCGTGAGTCAGCCTATGAAAAACTAGCTCGATAATCACACTGAGCAATCACTTCATTCCACTTCAGTCATTCACATATGCATTACTAAACGCATCAAGAGCTGTGGGCTGTGATTTAGAGCGAGCTCTCTCAAAAGAAACAAGCCAAACTAACCTGTAGCATGAGTGCGTGCGGTGAGTGGACAAAGATGGAAGGGTTTTCCCTGGGCGACGACTCCAGGCAGAGCTGGGCATCCGTTGCCTTGGCGTTGTAGGTGAAAGAGATGGAGCTGGCCAGCTTTCCGTCATACAACACCTGCTTGTGGTGCTCAGCCAAGTGGATGTCGCTCTCGGACTTGAACTTGAAAGTGCTCTGCAGTGGCGGTGGAGGTGGAGGAGGAGGAAGAAGAAGATGTCAAGGGTTGTGTGAGGAAACCATTGAATCAGACAGACAAACGACTTTCCCCGAGACGACAGAAGCGCGTCTCTGTGTGCACAAGTTCAACACCCAAAATGGAGTCTGCTTAATTGCAGCATGAGCCGTGTGTAAACAACACAGCATTAGCTTAATGAACACAGCGCTAACCCGGGCACTAATTCAATTAGCCCAGAATAAGAGATGGATGGGGGAGCGGATGTGTGGGAGAGGAGCACTCGGAGATCCAAATTTATCTCTCTCTTTGTAGTCCACCAACACCAAACACACAAAAGAGAAGGAAAACATTATTTACATTTATCCCACACAAAAAACAACAAAAAACCCCACACAGCCTGGAATCTAAAATAGCTTTACTTTGGATCATTTTCTCACTTTTCTGTTCCTCCACTGACATTATGGACGAATGTAACACAGCAGTATGTTGAAAACAGGACACGCGGTCTAAAGATAGACGCATTTCTTTAGTCCACGCACAAATTGTAGGAACTGTAGGTTGCACTTCATCTGTATCTATATCCGTCTATCTGCACAGGTCTCTGGGTTCATGTGTCCTGCAGCAGTGCTGCTACACACAAAGTATAAAGCCCAGCAGATGAAAGGCCAGCGGACTGATCTGCCACCCTCTGCAGCAGCTCTAGGCGGGGGCCGCTCTCCACCTACAAGCGTCTGGGTCCCCAGGTACCTCACTCAGCCTGACTGCACAGGAAAGCCGCGGGCCGATGACAGACCTGCAGGCCCGTCTTCTTCTAAACCTTTCATCTGAGGTCTAGCGTAAAAAAAGATTAAAAATGCCCTGAGCAGTTTTAACCATGCACCACTAAATGTAACATCCTTATTTCCATCCAAGGGCTGAATACAAATTTACACTAAATCTTCTCTGATTCGAGAAACACAAAACGCTTCCTTGCATGGACACGCAAAGAGGAGCCGGGAGAGGCCACTAATCTGCATCTAAAGCCACTTTTCACAGTCTTCACAGCACAGCATTGTTTGCAAGAGTAATTAATGGTAATTACAGCATGCTTCTATTTTCTGAATTAAGAAGATATTACTTTAGTCAGATACGGGAGCTGATGACCCCGTGTTAAACAGCTCCTCTGTGAAGCAGCGTGTGTCAATAAGCTTATCTGTTAAAAATTGTCTGAAATTCTGCAATAATTCTTCACAATCACTAATAAAAAGCCTCTTCAGTTTATTTTGGAGCGGGCCCTACAAAAGTATTGTATAGCCTGAATGTGAAATTAATGCACTTATTAGGATGCAGATTTATTGCAGCATCAGCCTGTTTATTGTGCTGTACTTACAAGGTGTGTGTGTGTATGTATAGACGCAGCTCTTTTAAATGTGAGCTTGCATTCAGGTTGCCATAGTAAAAAGGGGGAAGGCGGGCTGCTGAAAGCGTGAAAGATCTTTGCTGACTCTTCAAAGTACGAAGACATAAGGGGATATCCGTCAGGTGGAAGGAGGAACATGCATTAAAGCGCGGGTTTTTACATATGTAAAGCCTTACGCGGCTGCACTTAAAAACATGTGTCCCCTCACACCGAGAGGAATGAAAGCGACAACTCTTGCCTTTTTCGCACCTGACAGATGCAGATACGACATGGCCTGCAGTGATAACGGCGCACGAGCCCGTGCACGCGCGCTTAAACCATTCAGCTCATCCTTCGCCTGCCTGCAACTCCAGACAGTTTACTGAATGACGGCCAACTCTTCAGGATGAGAATTCCAGCATCTGACAGAAATGTTGCCTGACTTATTATAAGCTATTTATAAAAAAAATAAATAAATCTAAATCTAGGACTGGCTATCTGTAAATATTCAAAACTAAATGTCAACTCTAAACACTTTCTAAAACTGAATTAGAGCAAAAATATCAGAAATCTACCAAGACATTTGTAGCCAGCGTTAGTCACACATGTTAATCTGCACAGAAATCTAAAGGTTCAACATTAACAACTCGCACCACAAAAAAAGATTGTGAATGTCACTATAATGAAACATATGAGACATACACACAACAACACACACAAGCGCACAATGCAGGTGTCCAGATACATACTCGCATGGTTCATTAATTAAGTTGTGGCCAGATTGCTGGCAGAGCTCTGCAACGAGGACATCTGGACCTCCTATAAACAGTGTAACCAATGACATATTCAACACATGAGTGGCAGGACATATACAGAACACACACATACACACGCAGAGGAAGATAAAAATAACACCAGAGCTTCCTTTCAACCGTAGCCCGCACAGAAAAACAAGACGTTATGTCCCGTCTTCTTCTGTCATTAGGAGAACATGGAAGTGCTGAACTGCGCACGCAGACATTTAGCACAAACAGCGTGTCAGCCATCATAAGCCTCGTCAAACCGGAACACCACGCGCACCCTCACTGTGCTAAAGCAGAGTGTCTGTCTGCTTCCTGTTCCTCATTACTGAACAGTAACACTGACAGTGGCCGGGACTAAGAAGCCTCATACGGCTGCGCGCACACATACTGTGTATATATATGTGGATACAGTTCGATTAAACACAGACTAGGCAAAACCCAAGAAGAAACGTATAACACACACACACATACGTCCACATCTGCGTGAAGCCACGGGAACGAGGACCGACCTACATTCGAGTTAAGACAGGAAGCTGCGTGACACAAACAGACCCACTGGCGTCCCTCCTTTGGCCGAGCGAAAAGCCCACGCACTTGTCATTACAATGCCAGCGCCGAGGCCTGTGGCTTTAAAACAACTGAGCCATTTAATGGTCTCTTCTGGGCATCTGAGAAGCCCATTCTAAGCCATGCAGAGAGGCAATCATCTGACTGATCAGCCTCAGGAAACTGTGGGCTGTGACAGAGAGAGGAATCAGTATTCATGGCAGAGAAACAGCAAACCCCATGCATGCGATCATTTCGAGGAGCACAAGAGAAGTCTAGTTCATCAAATGCCTCGATGATTAAAAGAAAAAAGGAAAGGTGTAAAGGCCACATGTATGATTCAGCGCTCGTATATGAGAGACAGCTCTAACTCCTGCATTCTATATACTGCATCCTTCCCCGTCAGCGTCACAGTGACAATTTCAAATCCCTTCACCGGTGCGCCTGTAGTTTCGCTTTCAGGCCGGCCAGATCTTTACTGCATCCCATTCACCTGTTCTCCTTCCCCCAGATCGCTCATGTATACACACAGCTGCCATCTAATACATGCAAACATGCCAAAGAAAAACATTATTTAAAAGAACAAAATCTGATTAAGGATATTTTCTTTCTAATAAGCAGCTGAAATCACATCAGCTGCCTTATCCCCATGACGACTCGCGGTTTTTAAAATTCTGACATCTTTGGACACCTTCATAAACAAGTCGTAAGTGGCCTGAGGCGTGCGAGTGTGCCAAAACAAGAAGCAGACAGCTGGCAAGGCATCTCAGCTGCCACTGATAGCCAGACCAAAAGGCAGAAACTGTGATTTCTAAAGCAATCAGAGCTCAACACCCAACATTGTGAAGCCTCATTTGAATAACTTTAATAACCACAGGAACACAAAGTCCTAAAAAAAAAAAACCCAAGTTAAAATGTGGCATGTATGGATAGTTCTGTATTTGCCTTTTTAACCTCAAGGAAATGAGTGCAACCAAAAAAAAAAAAAACTAGGTGTATGAGTAAATCTAGGCATTCAAAAAGCTCACTGAGAAGGAAGGTAGATGAACTCAAGCTGTACAACATCATCTGCTGCTGTCTTCACAAACTGATGTTGATGACACTGAAACTGACAGAAGCACGATGAATCAAATGGAAAAACTCCTGCACCTTTTAGATTACATTACTGATGACCTCTATGAGAAAGCCTGGCTTTGAACAATAACGTTTGATGTATATTTTTACATTTAGTTTTCTAAGACGTGCGTTTTCTATACTGGAATAAACTTGGTATTATTGTTAGACATGTGTACAGATGTTTTTTACCTGCTTTCAAGTTACGGCTTCACACATCAGAGCTAAAAAGCAAGAAGTAGCTTCAACTTAAACCAAGACAACGGACACGTCAACAGTAGCAGCAGAGAAAAGTCTTATAAACAGATAAATGTTTGAAGTGCCTAAAAAAATGTTCTTCTTTAAAATACTACTTCTAATCAGCTCGTTAAACACACTTCATATTCTAGTACTGGGATGAAGTACTTCATAATGTCTTCAACAAGGTCCTGAAAACACTGCTCAGAGATTCTGGTCCATATTGACATGATAGCACCACACAGCTCGTTCAACCACATCCCAAAGGTGCCCGACTGGGTTGAGATCTGGTGACTGTGGAGGCCATTTGAGTGCACTGTCATGTTCAAGAAACCAGTTTGAAATGATTTGGTACATTATCCTGCTGGAAGCAGCCATCAGTAGATGGGTACGCTGTGGTCATACAGGGATGGACGTGGTCAGCCACAATACTCTGTGGGGCTGTGTTGTTTAAACCATGCTCGCTTGGTACCAAGTGTGCCAAGATAATATGCTCCACACCATTACCCCTCCACCAGCCTGAACTCATGGCACAAGGCAGGATGGACCCATGCTTTCATGTTGTTTACATATTCGGACCCTACCATACAATCACAATAGACAAGGAGACTCATAAAAACCAGATGTTTTTCCAAGCTTCTATCCAGTGTTGGTTTTGTAGCCTTCTTAGTTTTTTTAAAGTTCAACCCTGCCTTTAACTTTAAAATAGTGCAATTATTAAGATTTGTGGTCTGTGGTGAGGCCCCAATATTTCAAGATCGCCTTGATTTATGATATTACATTTGATCAAACACCGTTATTGTTTGTGTTTAAATCAGCACACAGCAGGTACCAGTGCACAGTGCAGACTTTGAAGATACAGGTAAAATCCTCAGGTTATAAACAACAACATGAATGGAAACCGACAGCATATAGAAACATTAAATAATAGTCAGGAGGCCGGGATGTTCTAACTGTGACACTGAAGCACTGCAAAGCATTTGGAGAACATGTGCTATAGTGGTGATAAGCATGGATGCAGGCGCTATCTCACCTTGTATCCTGGGCCGAGCTGGTGAATAGCAAAAATCTGAGCTGGGTTGAGAGCTTCACTGAAAACGTAAATGGCCCCCAGCTGACCGCAGAACACCCTGTTAGCATCTGCTGTCTCTGATGAACCCAGGAAACACTTGTCGTAACTCTGAAGGAAAGACAGAGCACAAGATAATGTTACCTTTCAGACATAATCAAACAGAAATGTAATCAGAGTAATCGACAGTTTGGAGAAAAATAATATGTTTTGAAGTTTGCTGATCTTTACAGTGATCTGAAAGACAGATATGGTTCATTTTGAGTCATAAGATCTCTGAAGCTATAAACAGTGGATGGTGGAAAAAAGATAAACCTTTGATAGCTGCTGGTTCCTAATCGCTCAGTCCCAACTCTACTCTCACCTGCTATTACATTTGTCCCGTTCGCTCTCATAGCCCTTATCACAATGAAATCTTTACTCCTCTGCCTTTTTTCAAAATGAGGACAAACGTTTTATCTTGGGCCCTCAGGACCAAACAAACCCCGATACCGTCGACGTTTTCCGAGACCCTTGATTTCAAGTCTCTGAATGAGCTGCATGAACAGCAAAACCCTCTCCCTCAGTTTCTTACAACAACGTCAACCTTCAATACCAGCAGAAATGTCAAAAGCTGGCCAGGATGGAAGGGGAACAAAGGCCGTGCAGCTACCTGTCACCTGCTAAATGGAAAAGTTGGAAGTTGGAGTTTGGGTGAGCTATGTTGGAAGGAGGCCCAAGGACAACTTTGTTCCTGCTGACAAATGCAGAGGGCAAACCTCAGATGTCTGCCAATATCACAACAGGAGAGAGGTGTGAAGTAGAGCCAGACCAGTACTGGATTTCTGACAGTGCTGCGGAAATCCTTATTTTGAAGCTAAATCTATTTTTTTAAGCAATCGTCAAATAGAAGCAGCTGAATAATGAACTCCGCGTTCATAATCAACTGTGCACGCTACCACATAAAATCCACAGCAAACAACATCAGCGCCCTTACATCGTTGGTGTTGACGTGCCAGGCCATATCACCATAGGAGACCAGCTGACCGTTCACATAGCAACGGATCTCGGAGTTCCTCCAGCGGTTGTAGATGTGGACGATGCTGATCATATACCACTGAAAAATTGAAAAAACACATTAAAATAAAACACACACACACACACAAGATGATTAATCAAAACAAGAAAAGCATCACTGCACCAAATTACCAAAACAAGAACTAAATGTTCTTTGATTTATTTGTGGGAGTTCTTCAGAACTGTTTCGTGACGACTGAGACCTTTCTTGTTTTGGTTTTTTCGGTTTTTATATACAACCAGAACGGTATTTTAATCGATTTTATTCCTCTGCCTCTGCTCTCACCTTGGCTATTACTGACAGTTGTTTGTCCATCAGACGCATTACATCCAAACCCTCAGGGCTGAATTGAAACTAAATTGAAACTTAGTGAAAAGGTGACGCATTCATACTGAGAACTGAGAAATACAGCAACGGCCTTGGCGTATAATGTTTACTGCTACGGGGGTCGGGCGGTCCACAGCGATGACACCTGAGTCCCGTGCTGCAATTGCACTTTTTGGGATTTCCTATTTTTATACCTCATCTGCTTTTGAAATGCAGAGCGAGTTATAGCCTGTTGTCATGTGTTTGTTGGGGTGTTGTGCTGTGACAGCAGAGAGGAAAACCAAGAGTGAAACACACAACGACAAAAAAAACACAAAAAAGGACTCACAAGTTAGGCAAATAATTTGCTTTTTTTATTCTTATTTTTTTTTTTCCCTTTTGCTTCTCAGAGAGAGTGAAGGGATCTCTCGGGGTTGCAAGTAATAGAAAAAAAAACACTGTCAGCCTTGATTGCTCCAAAATATCTGGTACAGTGATGTTGTTGATTTGGACAATGGCTCTGTTGGTGGCTGAATGCATCATACAGACTACTAAGCTGCTGTAAAAGCAAACCTGTTGAAGCCTGTGGTGAACAAAATGTGTTACTTGCACCTTTGCACTTGTTATTTAATAAACACAAACTACTGAAAGATATTGACAAAAGCCTCCTGCTGTATCCACTACTGTATGTTATCATCAAGACTTTATTTTATTTCCTAGCTTAGTGAAAATTCATATCTTTGTAATACAGAGAATACTCACTCTCACTGCCCTCTACTTTAGCTCACTATAAGAAGGTCAGCTAACATGAATTACAACAGTGTTGAACTCATTTACTCAACAGAACGCTTGTTGTTCTCTCTCTTTTTTCACTTTGCCCACCTTTATAGTGCATGGCTACAGCAATATGCTTGTGTGCCTTCATTAGAAAACATCTTCCCTGGTGATAATACACACAGGTTCCCTGGAGAGAGACTGCAATGGGGAACAGGAATGCAAAGGGGAGGGTGGGGAAGCTATAATTTTGCAGGTGCATGTATACATGGGGAGTAGGGAGCACAAAGTGTGCGTTGCCAGCGTTCAGTCTCTCGTACATGCATGCACACACGCATTAACGCATGTGCACGACAAGGCAAAACGCTGTGAGACACGGTGGCTTTGAAATTTATCAAATGGAACCACTGGGAACTTCGTTAGGCGGTGCAGGGATTCTACTGGGTCAGCAAATCCTCTGGAAGGCCATCTCATCAAGTAATGTGTGTTTGTTTATGTGCGCGTGCGAGGATGTGTGCGAGCGCGTGTGTGGGACAGTGGCAAAATGCTGACAGCGCGGTACAGGGGCAGCGTGCAGGTCTTAATTGACAGACCTTATCTGGACTCATCAACATTCGGCGTGTGTGCAGAGAGACGGGGGAGAGCAGCAGCACTCTCCTGATGCTGTGTCATTTAACAAGTGGCACAGGAGCTCCAGAAAATGGGTGTTTCTTTTTCTTACCTTGCGGGGCTGGAAATCATATTTCACGCAGTGCTGAAAGCCTTTTCCTTTCGACTTCAACGATGTCACAATGAGGCAGTTTCCCACAAAGTGCGCGGAGTAACCGATTCCTTTACTGGTGCGAAAACTGAAGAAGAATGAGAAAGAGAAACACTCATTTCACTTTGGTGTAGAGTCGAGATACGAGTCTGAAAATGGCTGTGATAAGTTTTCAGCTAGCTGTAAATGAAAACAAACTAGCTTAGGCTAACTTTATGAATGAGCTGTCCCTCTTAATGGCATGTGAACCATGAAGCTGCTTAGACTAAAAGAGCTGGATTTTATTTCACAAATACAACTGCACCTCAAGATACCCTTACTACTGAAATACATGCACACGGCACCTTTCACAGCCACATATCGCATCTTTTAGGGTCACAAAAAGCAGGATTTTAAGGTGCTTTCTTTTCAGCGATGCCAAGGGTCCCAGATTGTAGGTTTGTGAGAAACACCAGTAATCCCTCCATTTTACCCGCATAATTTTTCTCTTCCCGCGCTTGTAACCTCCACATAAAACCTAGTCTCACAGCTAAGCTTCTTCCTGAAACAAGCAGACATATTTTCTTTTTAAAATAGACCCAGAAGGATCGTGCATACAGCAGGAAGGAGATATAAATCCCTCTCAAGTGAATCCCTGGTACACATTAGTAGGACACGTACTGCGTTATCACGGCCTTCATGCAGCTGCTGAGGCCAATATCAGACAGGCAGCTGGAGTAGCAGCTGCATCTGGGGGAGGATGATAAGACCGGGGCCAGAGAAGAGGAGGCTGCCCTCCCTCTCTCGCACCCTGCTTACCATGACAACCTGACAAACCAAACTGTTACTAAGGAAACAAGATTACATCCGAGCACTTTTCCTGATTAGCACTCATCTCCGAGATAGTATCTGGAGGATATATGGATGCACATCGCGCTTCCTGTAGACGACTTCACAACCGTTTCCCTCCGTAATGAATCAGAGGGAGGAGAGGTGAAGGCAGGACGGCGCTAGTTAGTGTCAAAGAGCGAAGAGGTAGAGAGAAGAAGCCAAGCAGTGGCGTGAGGGAGTTCAATTAAATAAAAGGTCAAAGCTAATGAAGCTTCATAGCAGCTAACGGCTTGCACTTGCAACACTAACGGTGAGGCCAGCGAGGGCCAGAGCTGCACAGCGAGGAGGAGGCATCCACCCAACAGGTCACTTATAATGGAGTGTCTTGACATTTAAAGTTATGTTCTAATTTATTATCTGTTTATCTATTAACTTCCTAACCATGTCATTCAGTCTGACTAGTTAACTCATTATATTAAATGTTTCACTGAAGACACTCAAAAGCTGAACAAATGTAACGCTGGAAAAAGATTTGAATAGATCTGATTGTTTAAGATTCGGGAGCTATGTGATCATCGCTGTGTCTGTGGCCAGCTGACAACACAACACTTTAACACTCCTAAGATGACAAAAAGATGGAAGTGAGGTGTTAGAAGAGCTGATCTGTTTCCTACGAGTCACGCAGTACTGAAATGGCTGAAAAACACCATAAGAATGGACTCAAACAACTTCAACATTTTTCTACATCTGATTTTAGACCAAAAATCCTCATTTTTATTTCCCTTTTCACAAATATAATATGGATTACGCGTCTAAACAGAAACATGATTAAAACAATGTCTTAACGCCTGTTGCAAATCAAAACAAACTATCACAATTTGTTTGCGATAGTCAACAGCGAGTGCTAACAGTTTGTTACTTGTCTAAAGCCGTCTGAGTATTTACTTGTATTAAAAAAAATTATTAAAAACCTACAAATGCAACTTGTTGTGATGATTGAAAACATGAAAAAAAATGCTTGTCTGATTTTCAGATTTTTTTTTTTTTTTTAATCTTGTAACAGCTGCACTTTGACCCCATGACTCCGCGACAAGTTCCCACGGTGAGAGTTCTTAGGAATAGATAGACAGACACTTTATTGATCCCACAAGGGAAACTGTGCTTGCTGTTGTGAACCCTTCTGAACAAGCCAAAAGTAGCTTTTGTTGCCTAAAGACAACAACAACTTCAGTTCATCCTCTGTCTCACACAAGCAGTTTGACCTCCCCTTCCTTTAACCCAGAATTCTTTTGATTCATTCAGTTTCTGACGTGACGTTAAAACCCATCACGTGCGTGCACCCTGACGGAAATCTGTCCACTCAACCTTTCCAAAAGCACCGATTGAAACCTTTCTTTGTGAACCTATCCTGTATGGCGTTCATACAGATTGCGACAGATTGCAGTCTGCAGTATATTAAGTGCTTTCGCATACTGTGATTAAGTGCAGCACACTTTCAAACTGTGTCATCCGTGTTCACCTCAGGTTAGTTTTCTTCCAACTGTAACTATAATGCTTTTTGACATCCAGAAGGAACAGGCCTGAACTTGCTTTGTGCAGCTATGTCGGCTCCTCTGCTTGGATCAATAGTGAAAGCACAAGGACGTCTGTACGAACTAAAACCACTTCGTACACAAGTAAAATTTCTTTAAACTGAGAACACTAGCGAGTGCTGCCACTATAGAAATTTGCTCATGTCTGAGCCTCTTTTGTCATTTTCTTTTTCTCAAACCTATCTAGAGTTTTTTTTTTTAAAGCATACCAAGAGTCTACAAAGAAATCCTGTGCTTTTGTGATCCCGGAGGGCTGATAAAAAAACCCAACTTGGCGACGTTTGGATTCCTTTTCCTCGATTTAACGCCTCTCTAACACAATATCAGGGTGACATCATTAGGTCAACAAGTCAGGGAAATAAGTGCAAGATTCACAGCTAACAGAAACTCTTTAACAGTACTCGAGCTGATTTTTCATTGAAATTCAAGAAAACGTACACGTTTGAAGATGTTTAACTTTTTCAACAGTCCAGATGAATGAACTTACCAGTAGAGGTACGGCTTGTCTTTATCCACATTGATGTTGTTGAGTGGATCCTGCCTGAACCAAGTGTTGATAGTGAATCCGTTCTGGTATGGCCATTTGGCAATTGGTGGTAAAGCTATAGCCTGGAGCAGAACAATCAGCTATCACTACACTCATACGCACGAGAAAATGCCCTTTAATATGAGCTGACTGACTGCAAACAAGCATAGATTAATCTGGATAAAAAAGAATTATTCTGATAGATAAGTGGTGTATAAGTGGTTAGTGCGTGCTGGTCGGTCTCACCGCTGCACTCCGGCCTGGAAAGTTGAAAAAGGTGTCCGGGCCGTGTCTCTGTGGCATTTGGTTCAACACTGACAACAGCTTGATAGCGTGTCTTGGCTGGAGGAGAGGAGGGAAGACCAAAGTGACTGCCATTATTAAGTGACAGATGCTCCCTATCAGGGGCACAGGGGAGAGTAAGACTGTTAAAAAAAACAAAAAAAACAACATGGTGTGACATCACATCTCTACCACAACCCAGCTGGATCAATAACTCTTCAATCACCTCCGTCCTACCCCCGACAACACCTCATCAATACCATGGCAACCCTTAATCGATCTGTCTCTGGAGAGGGCTGCTGAGGGGAGGAGGAATCGGAAAAGATGGGAAAACAGCGGTAGGTGGATGGGTTAGTGATAGATATTGGACAGCAGAGAGCAGTGGACTGCTGATCAGTGACCAGAGGTTGCTGATGGAGGTTGCCCTGGAGCCTGCCTAGAAGGGGGGATTGCCGAAGAAGTGGCAAGGATTCACAGGATGAGTTAACAAACACCGAATCATCGCACACTCTGCAAACCTTGCTAAAACTACAGTCAGTAAGGATGTCATAGGAGACGGTTTAGACTCATAAAACCCTCGTTAATCTTCACAGTACAGTTTTAAAACATCCGCTCTGAGTCAGCTAAACCGTCCGACTAGAAGGTGGGCCAATGAGCAAACTACAGGGAGCTGTTAAGCTTACAACAAGAAGCAATGTAAGCTGAGATTGCACTAAGCACTCCCAAATCTAAGCTCCTGAATTAATCCCATTTTCAGGTACTGGCATTTGTAGCTCTAAAAGTAAGCATGAATCAGCAATAGCAGAAGCCAATTTAAGCAGAAATTCGACAATAAACAGCATACGGGTTTCAGTATAAAAGCCTGAAGCAACCAAAGTGCAAGAGTGGTTCGTGTTGCCGTTTCAATAAAGGAGGAAATGTATTAATCAAACTCTCTTCCAATTGCCTGCAAAGCAATTCACTGAGAATACAATGCCAAATTGGCAGGTTGTGATAACAGACGTTTATTTGGCTCACTGTGCAAGAGTAAAGAAAGTTTGAGGTAAGGAGAAGTAAAGAAGAAGAAATGGAAATCCCCGAACAAAGCATTCAGCTTCATAGAGCGGTTCAGATGATTATATGTGTCCTGAATGTGACTCTACTGGACTCTACTGGCTCCTTCACCTTCACACCTGATTAAGCTTTCACTGTCACTTTTTTTTTTCACCATGCTTCTCTTCAATTACACTAATAAAATCAATTACAAGCAAAAACAAAAACAAGAACACAAGCTAAAGTGTCTTAACAAACATACAAAAATGAATCCTAATATGGAGTCAAAGGTATACACACCCATCCTGCATTATTCTAGTGCATTAGCACAAACATCTCACTAAGTGACATCCAGACTAATGACACGCAGACAAACTCATGCTGTATGGCTAATATAGTTTGCATTTTTTAAGCTTCCACAGCAAGTGAATACCAGTAAATCAAAAACAGTGAAATGTCTAATTCAGCAGCAAATGTGACATCTGCAAAAACAAAAAACCTAAAAAGATCAAACATATCCAAGGTTACAACATCCCAATAATCATCAGTGTTGGCAGAGAAAATTAATATTGCTTCGTGAATACCAGCTCCTCTCAAACCAGACATGAATCTTCAATAATGTTCTGATATATTTGTTGGTCTGCTGCCATCTGAGCAAACAAAGGGTTTCTGACTGAAGCTCCTTCTGTCGTTGAATTGTCCCCTGAGGTACACCACATCAGAAAGGCTCCCAATATGAAACACATGACATACATCAAAAAAATTTTTGCAGTGTTGATATTTGTTAAACTGTAAAGAACTAGTAAGTGCATGAGTCTTAGCCTGTAGCTAATGGTGCGTGTCACGCCACTTCCCGGCATTGGTCTGCAGGAGAACTCGCTAGATTGGATGACGTACTTTATTCTCTACAGCTACAACCATGCAAACCATAATCTGCACCCTACTGGATGAACTCGTGTGGGCTGTCTGGGTCCAGATCTTTTTAAACCGAGACCAAAGTGGCAGCTCGTTTCCAAATAAGCTCTCTAAGACTGGTGCAGAGGTAAACACATGAAATAGCCCTCCTTCATGACCAGGTAGAGACACAATTTCAGTCTCATGGGGGTGGGGGTCACAAGCCAGTTACTCCTAATGCTGGTCCCAAGCCAGGATAAATGGGAGGCTTGTGTTAGGAAGGGTATCCAGCATGAAATCTGTGCCAAATCAAACACGCGGCCCCCTTGGGAAATAAGAGAGCAGCCCAAAGTAGCTTTAGTGTAACAAAATGTGTTTCTGCAAGAATTTAAGACCTGCAGTTGCTGTTGCTGTCGTTGTCGACTGACAACAGCTAGTTTTCAGTTTATAGAGGCTTTGAGTTGCGCTGGATGCCCTTGATTTGCATGAAGGAGCCTAGACCACAACACTGCTCACCTGCTTACACAGACAATGAATGGAAGTCGTGGAAATGACAGATCCTGCGGAGACGTACCCACAATCTAAAATTCTAATCGCTTCTTAAATCACCACCAAAACTTACCCAGATGCCGTTTTCGCCCCTCAGCATACTAAAGAGCAGCTTCAACTCCTTGACTGTGATGCTGTAGCTGGCCATGACTCCCAGCATGTCCACCAGAAGGTCTGACAACAAAGAAAACACACACACACACACAAACAAAAGGCAGAAAGTAAGTGTAAGACAGCAGAGATATCCTGAATGTGCATGCTCCTATGAGTTTGTGTGTGAGTCAGCATTTGGAAGTCTCACTACTGACATTTCTGATAGAATATGGTGAGGGCATAAGACACTGACAGGTTGTTCTACTGTCAGTTGAGCAATTTATTATTCAGAGAAGTAAAAATCAGCGGCACTTCATCCAAGCACTCTGAGCTACTGCCATGTAAACAAAACACACACAACCTCAAACCTCAACGAGTGTTGCTTTTCACAGCACTGCTAAATACGGTCAGAGTACACATGACAACGGATAAAGCTCCATTAATACATAATGATCTTAATACATCAGGGAATAGAAGGCCAAACAACTGAGAAAGGGCTAAATACATTGTCAGCTGTGACAGCGTTAATTATGATTCACAAATATAGCTGTGGTCAAACGTTTACATGTTGTGGTGATTTGGGGCTTTTAATGATTTCTTTGAACTGTTCTTTTTCCAGAGTGCAATGACTGTACAGCTTACACCTTTAATCACTTTAAGAACACGAAGTGAGTTTTGATTTTCTCTAATCCACACAGGGTCACAATTGTACATACGGGCTCGACTATACACATACATCACCTCTACTCCCACTTGGGTAAACATCACTTAGCAGGGTGCACCTCAATCAGACAGTTTTGACAGCCATCAAAAAGCTTCTGATATAATTTTGGATGGACTGGTGGGATTCATCTAAACTGGTTGGCTTCTTGGTACAGACCCAACGTTCCTATGTTTGAAAGCTTCGCCTTTACTCCTGCAAACAAACCTCATGTCATTGTGGCCAGTTAGCTCAATCTTTGTCTCCTCTGACCACAAAACGTTTCTCCAAAAGCCATTTGGCTGATTGATGTGGACAGCTGCAAATTCCAGTCTAGCTCGAAGGTGTCTTGTTTGTTCTGGATCTCCTCAGTCCGTGGCAAAAGCTCACTCCACTATGGCCAGTGAAGCCAGTGTTCCAACAGTTTCCAGTTCATGGCAGGCTTGTTGGGTTGTCTGAACATCCTAACCTAACCAAATATCCTCTCATCTGAGGGTGACGCATCTGAATATCCTGTATTTACATACAATTGTTTATTTATGTAAATCTACACAATCCTCCTTCTTAAATCTTCACAGAGTTCCTTCCTATTGTTCTGAGCATTGGTCCAATACCAATTTTTAACCTGGCAAAATCAATTATAATCACTCACAAGAAGTTAACAGACCTTGGACTTGTCAGGTTAACCCTTTAAGCCTGAACTGTGAAATAATTGTGAGAATAAAAAAAATAATTAATGAATTCAATATTAATTTGCAGATATGATCTTTAACTTGTATCAGGCTTTACAGGGTTAAAAGGCACCGAAGAAGCTACAGCATAACTTAAAAGATTTGAGTATAGGAAAATATTAGAGGCCCTACATTTTTAAATGTTGATCCTGTGTCGATAAAATCCAAACCAAATTCAAACTTGTGCACCCACTTCCCTTTTTTTAAAGTAATTAAAGATGCTGTACAATGATGAGTGTCTGTAAACTTCTGACCACACATGTAATTTAACTGCTAATAGTACAAAAAACAGCATGCAGAGTAGTATTAATCTCCTTTTAGCAAAAAACCCCAAAGAAACAAAAAACAAATATTCATATTCACCAAAATCGTAATCTATTCCTTTAATTTGTTCACATTTTAACAGACAATAGTGGCAAACCTCCCTCTCTAAGGCTGCGAAAGAGCTTTTGTTTAATGGCTACATGTCATGAAATGATAAAAACAAGACTTTAAATACAATTCCCTCTCAATATTCAAGCATATAATTAAATACCACATTGAGGCTTTTGTTTAGCCCAAATGACCTTCCTGCTTCATTGACTTTCACTTTACACAACCACAACAGATCAGTGTGGATATGGCAGAGAGACAGCACAGCTCTCTCAGAGGGAGCCAATCTGCTTAGAAAGGCTCTTCTTTCCCATTAGGCCTGCTAGATATGAATAGAGTCTTCCCATAATATTTCATTAGCCAAAGCCTAGCGACAGGGAATAAAGGAGAGGGATATCTCACTGAGGTGCTGGGTATGAGAGGAAAATGCAATACACAATGTCCTAGATTCAAAACCCCTAAGCTCTGTTTTTGTTGTGTTCAATTCATGTGGGTCATTTTGCATAGGTTTGGAAAAATGTTACAATCACAGCTCTCTGGAAGAATCGGCATTAAATTGATTTAAGTGGCGTATACTCTGCTGTAGTGAGCAGTAATAAGTCAAAGAAGTTATAAAACACATCATCCTGCGGCGCTAGCTAGGGCAGAGAGGACACTGGGGGGGTGGAGCAAAAGATGTGCACTCCGAGGCATCATTAAAGGGAAGCCAAGGTCAATACGTTCATGTAAAGAGGTGAATGTGGATGTGTTGTTTTGCAATCAAGCCCCGTGAACAAATGGCAGTGAGCACACAGAAACACATCGAGGTTGTTATTTTGCTTTTGCTGCACCGAAGGGTTTTATGGATGTTTCACTGCAGGGCAAACACTCATGGACACGTGGAATAGGTTTTGATATAAGGGAAAAACATCTGAGTTTTTTCCATCAAGGTGGAGGCACGTTTACAGATTCAGCTGGTTGTTGCTTCGTCAACACGATTACAAGGTTGAGAGGTTGGGCATCTGTTAAAGAACAGCCCATTAGGTTTTGGTATGGATCCCCATCACTTTCGTTAAAGTAGAGAGATAGGCCACTGGCCTTGGTAGAGGACTTCTTTCCTCTCTGTCAGCAAGGTTATGCAAAAAGTGCAGAACAAAGTGCATGAAACTTGGACGCACAGTGGAGAGCTGGAGTTTACAGAAGGAACTCATTACATATAAATGCAGATTTAGACACTGACCTTAGCACAGACTCTGCTCTTCTAGTCTGAGTCTTACCTATTTTTCAGTATCAGTGAAGTTTTACACCAAGCGTGCAATCCAAAATAAGTGGTTCCTGAAAATTCTAACCAAGGGTGACGTTTTGGGTCTTCTTCCAGAACTTAGCAAAGTTTTCACACATTCGACTTTCTGTAGTCACAGTTTGAAGATGTCCCCTGAACGCCTCACATGCAAACAGTCATTGTGAAGGCATGCATACAGATAACGCTGGTGGCCTAATAGCTATAAGGTGGGTGTGTGTGTGTGTGTGTGTCACTGCAACTGAATAAAAAACACATGCTATTAAAAGTAAAAGCTAATGGTAACCAAGGCAGCTGTGTTCAATCCCAAACTTAGATTTAAGGCCTATTAACCATTTAAATAATAATAATAATAATATCATAATATTTTGTTAGCATTTGTTTCAAATACCAATAAATTAGGATCAATAAGCGATACATCCGCATGTTTCTCTCCTCAAGCACTACCATCATTATAACCTAAGTGTGACCAGTAAGTTCTTCAGCCATAAAGAGCAAAAGCCTTTATTTAAATATGGCTGATCTTCTCTTCAAAGTGATGTCATAGTCCACCTCTGTGCCACTGCCAGTGTTTTTTGAAAGCTCTCTGGAAGTCCCGTTCCAGACTAATTGCACTTGTGTATCTGCAATGTGTGCTGGATCCCCTACACTGTCCCGAAACAGCATGAGGTTGGAAGAAGAGTAATTTAGAGAGTATCCTTTGTAGTTACTGACAACTGTGTTCATGTTTCATATTAAAAAAAACACCAGAATTTTCAGTGTGCTGAGAGCAGGTGCACAATGGCACGATCCAGTTGTTTGTGTCCTCAGACCCCACAGAAGGCAAAATTTTTGCGTTGACAGTTTGACTCTGGGATGAATTCACAGTGCCAAGCCCAGTAAAAAAGACAGTAATATGTTTGGACACGGACACTGAAGACGCTTCCTCTGTAAGCTGTTTGGACCTGGTTCAAAGCCACAAATTTGAGGTCATATTAAAATTGTGGTAATTCGGGGAATTATCTAAAAACAGTCAGGCGTGGTTTTTGCTATTACAGGGTGGAGTTAATTCAGGGGAATTAAGCTGTAAAGTTATCATTATATCCCACTATATTCTCATTTTATAGGTTGTCCAATCTTGAAAAAAACTGATCAAAATACAAAGTATGTGCGCATGTATCCATGTGTACCCACTGCTCACCTGCAATCATGTCGTCCACAGTGCTCATCTTCAGCAACACCTGCTGGATGAGGCCAACCTCGGTGCTGGTCTGCAGGTTGCGCACACTCTTGCGGAGTATGGCTGTGAACATGCTCCAGATCTCCGCCTGGCACGTCACCTCGCAGTGGGAAAGCAGCTCCACCATGCAGCCAATGCTCTCCGCCTCCTGGATGATGAAGTTCATCTCCAGGTCAAACTCGCCGCCCACCAGCTTTAGGAGAAGAAGTGGGAAGGGGGAGAAGGGGGAGGGTTTGGGAAGGGAACAGAGGTAGAGCAGGAATTGGGGGGGAGGGTGGAGAGAGAGAACAAGAAGAGTGAATGATTTAGTGTAGCATTTAACCTTATGTCTGAAGGAGAGGTAAGCCTGGCATCTGATGGATGCTGATTGTGGTTGGGAAAGCATCTCTTCTGCCCGGGGCCTCATATGCTGCAACAAATAAACGTCCTTCATGTGAGCACACACACACACACACACACACACACACACACAGATCGTCTCCTCTTCCTCTTCTGCTCCTCAGTAACATGAGGAAAACAGAACTCTATGAACAACAATTACTCTCAGAATACAGCAGGCATAAATATGCCCCTCTCTACCACCTCAGATGCACAACACCAATTGAACACATACAAAGTTAACGCACATGTCAGTCCCTCTCCTCTCTGATGGCATTAGTGTGAGGAGACCGCACTTTAAAAACTAAATGCAAATGATTTTCCGTCTCTTAATGGCTGGCAACTATAATTACTTGGGTAAGTACAGCAACAACATGCTAGCACATTAACTAACACGCCACATGAACACAGCCATACCCACACAGTTCACCCTCAGCACGCTAAGCTATCCAGGAAACGGTAGCCATAGCAACCAGCAAGCTATGAGAACACCACAGGGGTTATTAAATCAGATGGAAAAGAAACATGCAATAGATTATCAGAAGCTAGCAAGACAGCAAACAGGATAAACATTATGACTATTGTGGTGTTTACACGGCATGAGAGAATAAAACTAATCGATAAATCAAGGAGAGTCGGTCTGTTTCACAATGTGATTAAACTGGAGGGGCAGCAGGGCTGTGGTGTGCTGTCTGCAGTCAGGAGCGGGAAGACGCAGATAATGCTGGTGCTGTTCAATAAAGGGTTTATTTTCAATAATTCATTCTGCATGTGGTTAAACGACCCTTAAGCAAAAACTATTACAAGCTCAGCGGGGAATGTAAAGTTATACTCTGCGCACTCTTGCTATCTTTAAGAGATGATCACATAGCAATTTACAAACTGTGTTGTTTTTGGATCACTGTTAAAAAAAAATTACGTTTCACACGCTTAGCTTCAAAATGAAACTTTTAAAGAACAAATACACAATAATGTTCATCTGACATATCAACAAATCTGTATTCGACAGCAGCTAAACACATCCCGGATGAATCAATACACCTTGTGAGACATTTAGATTCACTTCATTCTGTCCAGCACTGTTTTCCACCAAGAGTCTTCCTGGCAATTGTCTAAAACAAAAGGCAATCGTTTGTGTTCACTGACAAATAATACACCTCCTGTTGCAGATGAACCAAAAGTTCTCAGCAAGAGAACTTATAGAGTATAGAGCAGATTATTGAAATGAAGGAATTAAATGCGTCTGGTTATTCCGGAGCGTTCCCAGAGTTACTGCCGATGTGTTCATCGTAGTGTGTATGTGTGTGAATCTTAGCTCGAAAGCACTTAGATAGAAATGTGCGTGTGAATGGGTGACTCATACAAGTTGTATAGAGCGTTCTGAGTGCTCATGTAGAGTAGAAAAGCATTTACCTTAAAGCTGTTTATGAACAGCTCATCTTTGCCTCATTTGCTGCATATGAAATTTTATGTTTCAGCCTGTTACAGATAGCACATCTCTGTCCCTGGTATGAGCATCATAACCGCAGGGATGATGAGGGTTGAGCAATAAGTTAATTAACCTACTAGAATTTTAAAAAAATAATTAATTGATTATCAAAGACAAGAAAACAATTCTGTTGGTAGAAGGGCTAACAAATAATCCAAGGAGACAGAAGGGGAACTGAAGTTGTTGTAGTCACCACAATGTTGGTTCAACTTTCATTTTCATCATCAAAATGTTTGGTCAGTTTGAATATTACACGTACAGACGCATGAATCGATCAGCCAGGGACCAGAATCAACCAATTTCTATAATTCTCGGGCCTCATCTGTGACTGGTCAATCTCACATGTGCCCGATTACAAGCCAGTCTATTTCATGCGTGCATAGCAGCACAACCAAACACACACACACACACACACACACAAACACACACACACAGCCTAATGCTAACATGTTGTTAGCATGGTGGAAGCATCTCAGTGTGAGTAAAAACACAAACCTTTCCAAAACCCAATCAGACTCTTAACAGACCAAACCGAACTTGGATATTTTAAAGAAAAAAACAACAACAAAGGAAAAGTGGCTAACGCTAAAGCTATCCAGAGCCTCGGTATGAGCAAAAACTGAGCAAAAGGAAAATTATAGAGACAAGGGGAAAAAGTGCAAAGGGTCGATATCCTATTATCTGCTGACTTTATAAAAATACTGGGAAAATAATGCAAGTACCTGACATTTATTTTGTTATATAAATCTATTACCACTGCCTTTTTTCGGTAGGGTAAGCAAGAGAAGATCCTACACTTAATGATTGATTTTATAATGAAAATAACATTTTACCATGAAGAAAAGTTTATTTTTGTCTGCTTATGCTGTCAGTTGTAGTTACAAAGCAAATAAGAATTGGGAAAAATAAATCAGTATCAGTGGGTCTCATTTAGGCACACCAAGAAAACTTCAGAGCTTTTATAATTACAAGCAACTTTGATTATGTCATCCTACTTTCCTACCTGTATAAATGTCATACCCAGCAATGTAAGCTCACCCTATGCTGGAATACCAATAAACACTCCACTACAGCAAACTTTAACACAGACAGGAGAAATGTGTGGGAAGAGAGCAGAGGAGTGACATGTAGTAAAAGACCAGCTGCTGGGGAATGGAACAAGGGACACGCTGCTGTCACCATTTATTAGTGCACAGATGTTTTGCTACCTAAACTGACAAAATCTGAGCAAGTACGCTTCAGTTTAGCAGCCAGTAGTTACAGCACTGCAAAAGACTGTTATTAGAAAAAATAATAATAGTTGAAAGTCAAATTTTAGAAAACCTGACTTATGAATACATTTCAAACAAACAAACATCAAACAATGAACACGGATGTAACCCATTTGTCACCGAAGCTCCTGCAAACCTGGCTTTGATCTCACTTTAAAGAAAAATGACGCTGCCATATATAATATTGACATAAAAAAGGTGCGGCAATCATTAGCAACACCAACATTTGTCATGTGCTGCCCCTTCCAATGACTTTCTGTGAGTCTCAGGCTCACAGAACTATAAGATTAAAGGTTGGTCCTTATCCATAATATTCATCATGCTTCTTTTCCCTTCCTTTTACAGACCTGCACCTTTTTCAATTCTTCAACGCTTCCAAGTGTACAATCAGCATGTTACTTGCTCTTACCTCCCCTCTCATTCCTGCCTCTTTCTTATTCTTCCCTATGTCTCTCCTCCCCCCTTTCAGTGATAAGAATTGATCCGCTGCACTCCGTGAATGCACAGATTAGAGTGGACCCCTGAATGAGGTATGGAATAAAAAGAGGAAGAATTAACTCGTCCCACATTGAATTTCCCCTTCTCCTCTGAGGTTCCCAATTACAGAGCTCACTGGGGACCACTGTGTTGTATTACATCTATACAGCCTGTCCGTCTGAAGACGCTCAGTATTACATGTAATAGAGGCTTAAGGGGGGGAGGCGGCGTAATTATTTTTTTCTGCAGAAACCTGCTCACGGATACGGAGCAACTTGAACAGAGAAACGCACACATCCCCAGGCCAAACCTACACGTGTACAGCACAAGAATCTCGCTGTGCATACTGCTTCCCACCCGTGTGAGGAAGATCACACCAAGATGAGAGGGGTGATGCAAACGACTGCAACGAATTGAGTCTCGTGACAAACAATAAGGAGGGGGAAAAGCGCGAGTGCAGAAAGCGCAGTGGGAGAAATAGAAGTGACTGAATAATTATTATTATGTCTGCTCTACCAGAAACAACATCTGGGGGGAAAGAAAAGAAAAACAACAACCTGGATGACACCGCCAAAAACCGCCTGAACCTCAAAACGTAAAAAGGAAGGAAAGTCAGACTGAAAAAGACTTCTTCAGTATAAAAATGTTCCAGTCAAAATTAATGTTCTCCATTTCATGAGACTTCAATAAAAGTGATAGATGCCTGAGTCCATTATTTGCTGGAATGGGGTTTTTAATTGATGTATAAATAAACACGCCACCTAAATAGCAATAAGGCTCATCACAAACAGCCTGAGCACACTCGAGCGCACTCAAGCACCATCACCGCCTCCATCGTGCACAGCCACAAAAGATTCCTAATTAGTTTTATGAGGGAACATGATTCTTTTGCATAAAGACTCGTAACCTTCAATCTTTCTTTTCACCCCCGGTCCACGTGTCTACAGTGTCGGTTCCCACCCATAACGACAATGCCCTCACAAATCAATGAGCACGCACAAGAGGCCTTTACTACCCACCCTGGTGGGTAAAAGACACAAACCAGGGAGGGAGCCACATTGCTCCTCATGCATCACGATAAACAGGCATGGCAGTGCCACCCACTCGCTGACCTCACCGTCTTCCTGGCAACTGCTAGAAGACGTTTGCGTTGGCTCCATTACGGCAACGATTGCTCCCAGAGCACGCCGTCCAGGGCTGGATGTTCCATTCACATGCACGCACGCACGCACATACACAGAAAAAGAGAGCAAGGCAACCAGCTAGAGTTCACATTTGACAGGTAAACACTGGAATGCATATGAACAGAAGCCTACTTGTTATATGCCTACACTGTAGAGTACACTCTTCTGATCACTGAGCATGTGCTGTTTAACCTTGAAACATACTCAGCAGCAGTCTGAAATGTAAGAATATCTCCCACAGGGCTCATGACTGATGAGTAATCTCCTTATATTGTGGTGTATTTATGGGCTTGAGAAGTGTTTGTCTGCCAGACACCACTCGTTCTCACTTTTTCACTCTGTGACTGAGGTGATTATAAAAGTCAGTTATTCCTGCAATGTACCAGCTCTATAA